AATATTACAAACAATGGAGAGTAAAAAAAGCCCAAACCCTAAAAACTATTTAAAAAGTACTTGACAGTGTCCCTTTAATATCCACAAATGATTCAGCCATTGTGCATTGAAAAAGAATGTTCCTGAAGAGCAACCGATACCTTCGAGGATATATCCCAGAGAAGGAGAGTTATTAGAAGTGTTACATATTCGATCAGCAACTGTGCTGCCTCTTCAGACTAACTCTCTCTTGAATGGTTGAATGGAATAGACTCTGTAATAAACTAACAGACTGGATGGTGAAAGGATCAGCCTACAAGACTGAGTGAGACTGTTGCAAATCGAGCAGCAGGGATACAGACACCTAAAAAAAAGATGTACAACTCTAATGCATGAGTGTCTGAATCGGCAAGGTAGCAGAAACCCACCGATATGGGTCGGCTTCTTGTGGTTGGAGTAAAATGGAGGAAATTAACCTGGAATGTCTGCATGGGAAATGATGTGTGTGAGTGGCAAGATTTGGATGCTGGGTTTGGGGTCATGAAGGCATAAATCACACCAGTACTTGTGCTTGAAACACCTGTGGAGCGTTTGTACAAAATTTGCCAAAAATGCCTATACGTCGAATAAAGGTCATGGAGCGCCCTCCCCCCCTCCCAATTCCACCCTCACAAAGCCTTTGTCAGGAACATTATGAAAAAAACAGGGTTTTTGTTTTAGTGAAATTTGGGTATGCCTGGGTTTTGTTAGATTTTCTTGGTGGGATGATTCAATCTCTCTTTCTGTAAATCAATATTGAAAAATCCCCATCCATTTCACTTCAGGTATCCTAGGATAAAACAAACAAGGCTCCAGAGTGACTCATGAAACAAAATGACTCGTAGCCTTGGTTAATCACAGTCTGGAAAATAAAAGTATTCCACATATTTCGTTCCCTTCCTTGTTTTTATAAATCTCACACTGTGTGTGTGTGTGTGTTTGTGTACGCGTGCGTGTGTGTACGGGGGGCATGTACAGAGTGTTACCTATTCCAGGTAATAAGATTTGACACATGCTAAACCGTCTGTTCCTCTGCTTCCCCAGAACTCTGCCTACTCAGTTTGTAGTCTGTATTGCACTTGTTTTGTTGGTTTTTTTTTGTGATTTGTGTCGTTTTTTTTTTTTTTTTTTTTTAAACTGGCTGGAAAACATTAACCTCTTTAGCATGAGTGTGCAGCTCTCCCTCCACCTGCTTTTTTCCTCAGCTGGCCAGGTGCCGCCTCTTATATCTTGTGCAGTTACCGAAAAAGAAAAGGAGAGGAGGAAAAAAAAGAGAAAAAGAAAAAAAGAAAAGGAAAGAGAAAGAAAAAGGCACACCATGCTCCTCTGCTTTATGAGTTCTTTGTCTCCTCCGCTTTGTGTTAAGGCCTCCTGAATTCCTCGGCTCAGACCGTCGTGACCCTCATGACGAGCTCTCTGTTACTACTAGACTGACTCCTCTGTTCGTGAGGCCTCAGGTGGCTGAGTATATGCAGGATGGTATAAGCACAGTGGTGGTCAGAGAGGGTGCCTGTGGCATGGCCGGCAGCCCGTGCCCCGCTGTCGGCTGGAGCGGAGTTAGTGGCTGTACCACCAGTGGAGGACGAGTGGGTGGTTTGGGAGGAGGGGCGCTGATTTGTCCTCGTCCCTGTTTTTTGTTCCTCCATGTCCTTTGTTTTGTCATAGTTCAGCACTTTCCACTGCTGATTGACCGCCTGCCACCGTTTAAAAATCCGGTAAACCGAGGGCCCTTCGTGTATTATTAGACCTGGAGGGAAGGGGGAAAGAAATAAACATAAAACAGAAACAAAACTTTAGAAAGAACCATAAACCTATCCCAGCATCCTGCCCCCAGCTAGCTGGTTAGCTCAGCTCTCCCTCAGCCAGTGTTTATTCAACGATAAATCATGTATTTTAATTACCAACTGGCAGAGCACCGGTGCTCCTGCTCTGCTGGATCCCTTTTCCCCTGAATTAAAAGGATTACAGCTTTATCTCAGCAATCAATAAATGGATCGTAAATGCAGCAGAGAGTTATGCTCTTACAGCAAAACAGTATCTGTTTACCAATAAACACCCGAAGTTTATCTATCACTGGACTGGTTTTGCATGCTGCATAAGCATGATTCACCCAGCTAATGGCGTGTGTTTGGAGGGGGTGTAACTGGATCTGACGTGCTGGTGACGTCTGCTGCACCAGTGTCATGTGCGTGCACAGCCCGAGTCTCTCCCCACACACACAGCAGCAGAGCAGACACGCACATGGAGGCCAGAGGCGGCAATCGAGCAAAAAAAGGGTCTGTCTATACCTATAAATGGTTTGTCATCTTAGGCAAAGTTTTGCTCATCTGCAGAGCAGGTACCCCATTGTACGTCATTGCTCCCTTCCAAGGGGGAAAACAACACGCTTGAAAGAAAGGACAGATGTGCTTATGCCATGTGTGCACTGAGTATGCGCATCGTGCATATGTTCTGCTACCCATCTGCATATCCCAGAGCTGATGTCCGGGGGATGGCACTGGGCTGTAGGACAACTGACTTCTAATGGTGTCTGCATCTGAAAGAGAGTGAGCAGCTCAGGCCCTTCCACCCCGCAGTTAGCTCACCTCCCAGCGGTCTCTGTCGTCCTTCCCACCCTTGCAAGAGGACTGAAGGATTAGATAAGGTTAGACGATGACAGTACTTGAGTATTAAGCTCTGTTATTATTCAAGCCACTAGGCTTTGGCTAGACCCTTTGAAAGCACTAGGACCAGCAGTGACTGCAACACCATGTTGTTCTTATCAACTGAGGCTGGAGGAAGCTGCAACATCTCTTGTAGCCTGGCTTAGTTAGCACACTGTAATATAATTAAGCAGCTTTGCTAGAGAGTGGGATTTATGCAGAATGAGGGGGGTCTGAGTCTCCTTGTTTTGTAGCAATCTCTCTGTTAGGGAAGTGCCTTTGTGCCCCAAGTAGCTGAAGCCAGACCAGTAGGTAGGACACGTACTGTGTGAGTTAGCACATGGATGACTTCATTGTTCTTAATAACAATGGCTTCACCATTCTTGGTCAGGATCAAGATTATCAGAACCATTTCTAGGAAGAGCAGCTCTCTTGCCTACCTTTTGCAAGCATATTAATATGAGGGCAAAGAACAAAAGACCCACAAGAAGTAAGAAGCAAAATCATACCAAAACAAGGAGGTTACCTTGACCAGCGTTGTGCAGGGAGATGATGGTCATCACAGAATAAAGTGGTTTACTGCTATCCCTGATGAATCAAATGCTAGGGCTTTACCCTCCACGCAGCTTTTCCAGACTGTTCTAGTTTCTGATGACAGGTAATTATTGGAGTAAGTCTGTGTATATCAAAAACCAAAATATCTGAAGGTCATCCTACCCTTAGGGCTGACCTCCCCATTACTCACTGATGAGATGCAGCCACCTGGTTTCTTAGGGTCTGCATCTGATTTTGCAGAGTTTAAACTCTAGCTTCAGTACAGATTGAGTTTCTAGCCTCTCTGGTTTGAAGCATAACTAGAAGCCCTGCTGACTTGATCACATAATAGCTTCAGGGGGACTCTCACATTCATCGTAATGGGGTGCTGAGCCTGCGTACTGGCTGTAGGTTTAAGTATTCAAATCTGGCTCTTTTGGGACAGGAATGGTGTTGGGCACTACAGTACGGGAGAGATCTTTACTCTGGTTCCCATAGACCAGTGAGATTGCACAGCTGTAATCCTGTAGTGATGTGGCTTTTCATAACCAAACACCATGATGTCATAATAGAAAAATGTGTTTTTTCCTCCCTACTTTGAAACATGGTTGAGAATTCTGACATCTTCTGATCAAAGCATCAACCATAAAAAGCAGGACTTAGGGAAAGCCTGCGGATCCAGCCAAGGAAACAGAGCTTTGAAGCAGGCCTGAAGTGGATCAGCCCATGACAAGGGACATTAGACATATATTTAAATGAGCTGTCTGATCTGTAATGAATGAAATTCCACTCTGATCAATGACAGAGCCGATGTTTCTCTGAGACCACTTTAAGCCTCGGATAAAAGAGCCGAAATCAAATGTTTTCTCCTTTGCTGTAGAACATTCTCCATAGAATCAAATCCATTCTCCAAAGTATTAAACACTGAGCCAGGATTGTAAATCTATTCTTAATTACCTTATCACAAATATTTAATGCGCAGCCTGATTCAAGAGGGCTGTTTATAAAATTCTTGTTTGTTTGCCTTCTAATTATAAATGTTTATGATCTTATGCAATTAACTGTGTGATGCTGATGGATGGGTTGCTGAGTCAACTGAGCACCTGTTTTCTTAGATAATTTTGGTTTCCAAATATTTATAAAAGTACAAAATAACTTGTTTTTGTCTGTATTTACTGGGCTCTAAATTACTTATCGATTTCCCAGCGTCAAGCTCAGGAAGCTGTAAAATTAAAAAGGAACCAAGTGGAGGGGTGGGCAGGGAGGCGGAAGTAACAGTGATTCATTTGCAAGAGTAAATACCAAGAGTAAGCAAGAGTCCATCAGTTTATATCAAGCTGCGGGACACTTAATGCTCCCATCGAAACAAATTTTGTCTGCCTGAGATAAATTAGGATTGGAATTCCTGCGTTCAGCTCTGTGTGTCCCCTTCCAGAAACACCCCTCCCTTGAGGATCATTCTCGCTTACAGAGGTGAAACTTTCCAATTAAATGCCAGGCTTAAGTGGGAAAGCCTTCAGGAAGAACCGTATTCAACTAGAAGTGTCCAGCTAGAAGCATTTAGTCCATAAGCCAAATCCTGTGTATGTGGGGAAGATAGCAGGTTGGTGTGAACTTCTCTCTTTGTGCACTTTTCTCTTTTCAATGCAGAAATGTCTATATGAGAATTTTGGATGGATTCTGGTAGTGGCCTGGTCCTTTTCCACTCCTCCCAAGTTTATCTTGCCATCTTCTGCTTCACAAAATCTGTTCTTAATGGATCCTCTGTGAAAACCATCCTCTTCGGAAGGACAATTTCTGAGAGTTTCACGCAAAACGTGTCGGTCCAGATTGTTGCCTGGTCCATTAAATCCCTTGTTTGTGGTGTTGGTGAAATGAAACTCCTATGCAATGTGGGCACTGAAGGTGTGCTGTTCTCATTCCCACTTTCTCATGTAGAAACCTGACTGGACCAGCAGCAGAAGAAATTCCTTGAGCTGAAAATTGTTGAATGCTGGAAGAAGTATTCAGGGGAACTATAATATACACTTGTCTTGTTCTTATTTCACTCTTATGTCTGTTTGTGGCCCTTGATGGAACAGGGCAGCTGGCTAGATGGAACCTTGGCCGTTCTTATATTCTTAGACATTTCTACTTGCACTGGCTTGTGCCATGAAAAGATTTCCCAGATGGCTCTGGAACTGGAGACAGCCCATACTATGTGATGGGGTCATTAACCTGACAGCAAAGTCTACAAAAAAAATTTCTAATGCCTCTGCTTGCTTTGCCACATTGATGTGGCTGTGCTGTTCCCAGGACAAGATATAGTACCTCTGAGCTAACATGGTAGGGCTAACCCAGCAGTGCTCTGAATTAACACATGCTGAATTTGGAACAATATGTACAGGAAACCATACCAATCTCTTTTCACTGTGTTCACTCTCTCCACATATGAGCCTTTTTTGCTCTTTCTCTTGTGGCTTTATTATTATTGAGTCCATGCAGAGGGTCAGATCACGGTCAGCCCTGTGGAGCTCTGTAGAGTCCAGGCAGGAGGGACTAGTGATTATCCTGGGTGCAGGGATTACTTCCCAGAGCTGAGAAGCTGCTTTGTGCTTCACAGTACAGGCAAACACAACAATAGCTTGGCAATAGGTTATACCAAAACTGTACACATTGCTTATGCTGGTATCTTATGCTTCCTTTCATTTATCATACACGGGAGAGTACCCAGCACCCAACCACTGCTCTTATGCAAAACTATCACAGTAAGTTACCCAGCCCCAAAGAGCACAGAGCCTGGTCCCAGATTGGATTGGTAAGCAACACCAATACAGGTTGGCTGGGCAAGGGTTGTGTCAGTGCGGTTGCATGCCCAATCAGTGCATGCCCACAGCATCTGGGAGAGCAAGCTGACAATTGCTGACTCTGGGGAAAGACTTACCTCTTCCATTTACCCCCTCCCTCACTCTCATTTTCATACCAGAGCAAGAATAACTGGACGTTTCTTTTCCAGACGATTAACATGCAGTCTGCAACAGAGCTAGCACTGGTGCAAGCAATTTAATTTCTATGTTCTACTGATTGCCACAGCTAACCCTGAGCTTCTGGACTTTTAAAATGCAAGAGTTGGAAAGGGGAGCCTGACCAAGGGTGAGTATCATGGCCCAGAGGTAAGGCTCACGTCGCTGTGGGATTTCTCTGAGCCTTGCAATACCTGCCCACACCACATCATGATCCATGTGAGCAGTCTCTGTGCAAGGAAGTGTTCTTGGTGCTGAGGGTGGACACATATGGGCTGTGTGCAGGTGGCCCTTTCTGTCTTGGGATTAGTCAGGACAGAAGTGCATTGCCGTCAGCGGGCCTGTGGCAAGACTGGTCAAGAGAGAGGTCCTCAGCCCAATGGCTAGAAGGGCTGTTGGAAGAACATGGGCAAAACCCAGATGTAACAAGGAAAACTGCGTTTGTGCCTCCGGATGGGCAAGGGAGGACCAGCTGGTGCGCCACCATCCTGTGAGATTGACCCGAGTGGTTGTGAGCCTCCAATTTAAGGCAACTTTGGAGCAGCAGTTTCCCAGAAATGACAAGCAGT